TCACACCCCGTGTAGACGAGGCCCTCAGTGATACGGGTCAGTGGTGGCCTTGACAGTGCTGGGCAACAGTTAGACCTGATGAGGTTAAAGGTCTTTTCCAACCTGGTTGGTTCTGTAATTCTGTGATTTAAAACCTCAAAGTGGATTACTTCTGTGCAGTTCTATTTCTCTTTCCTCTTTTCTTTGAGATTTTGGGCAAAGAATGTTTGCTCAAAGAGAAAAAGCCTTTATATTCAGACAGATAAAGCTTTCTGTCCAGTTAGTTCCTGCTGGAATGCTGAGGTAGGCTTTGGAATGGGGAGTTACTGTGTGCATTCGTTGGAATTCCTCCAGCCGTGTTAGGATGATGGAAGAAGGTTAGGCCTTTGTTTCCTTGGTGGTATCTGGAATTTATGTTTAGATACAAAAGGAGTTGTTTTTCTGTCAAAAACCTGGTTTAAAATTGTACTATTTAACAGTGAACTTGGAAAGGGCTAGGAAAATGAGATTAGTCTTTTGCAGTGTATCACTTGATGCTCAAACTTCCAGCAGCAGTGTGTCTTTAGAGGCATAACGTGTCATGTTAGTACATAAGCTGTGGTAGAAATGCAGAAAAGCCCTTGAATTTATAGGAAGTCTGAACGAATGAGGCAGTGTGATAGATGGGTGATGATTTTTTCATGTGTTCAACTTCACATTTAGTGGGTATGAATGAAGGATTAGTTTTTATGACAGATTGGTTCAGTTGTGCCCTGAAGAGAGGGGCAGCCACGTGGATGTTAAGCAGGAGCCTAACATTGATTTGATCGAAGCTTTTTGTCAAGTAATTGACAGGTTCGGTTCTGCTTTTGCTGGCTAAAAGAAAACTGAGTATAAAAATAATCCAGAATGTTTGGCAGAGAAATTATCAGCTGTCAACCTAATCTTTCTGTCACATACTCAGAATCTGTTACTGTATTTCCAGGCTGTTACAGAAGAAGAAAAGGCTGATGAAGAACCAGAAAAACTCCGTAAATTTCAGCTGTCTTCTTTTAATCCTGAAGAAAGATTTGATTACTGCCATCTGATTGAGGAATTAGGTACCAGCTATTTGTGAAATGCAGAGAATACTAAGTGTGTGTATGTGTCTGGTCAGCTGTGGCTCGTTGGGGAAAAGAATGGGCTTCTGTTAATGACTTACCAGATTTGAGGTCTCAAATTTATGGCTTTCTGTGCTTGTGAGTGATTCTTTGGATGTATTATTATGATGTGAGTGCTCAGCTTTGCCATAAAACAGCAGTGGGTTTGTCTGCTGGCAGTTTTCTAGCTGTCTCCACAAGAACCTCATTCTTTAATGCTGGGAGTGCCCAGGATCTCCTGTCTTCTGGTGTCTCTCTTACTCCTGTCTGTGTTACAGTGGCACTTTATCAGAGCCGCTCTTTCCTGGCTGCTTCTCCTTCCTTGACAGTGTCACTTCAATGATAATGCTTTCAATGTAAATTTGAGTGAAGTATACTTTTATCTGAATTGAAGTAAATCTCATTTTGAGTTGATCCTTTCTGTGGTACCTTTAAAGAACATGAATCAAATTCATTTCTCAATTCAAGGTGGAGTATTGCTTGAGAAACAGTGCTTTGATCCAAGTTGCACACACACTGTTGTGGGACATCCTCTTCGAAATGAGAAGTTCTTGGCTTCGATGGCAGCTGGGAAGTGGGTGCTTCATCGTTCCTACCTGGAGGCATGTAGAGGAGCTGGCTGCTTTGTTCAGGCAAGTGACCTTATTCCAGAGAAATGAGTATGTTGTTGTAGACCGATGCATTTCTTTTTAGTTTAGACTTCACCTCTCAAACACAATTAGCTGTTTAGGGTGCTCAAGCCTTGGGAGTTTTAGAGGATCCAAAGTCTGGCAAGCTTTTCTCTGGAAACTAGTCCTGGACCAAACTCCCAGTATTGGATAAATGAAATTCCCACACTTTTTATAGCTGTTACTGAAAACTGAAGCTTGAATACCTTTTGATAATTCTCACTGGTATCAGCTGGTATCATGTGGACTTTGTTACACCAGGAATTGATGTTGATCCTTTCAGTAAATGAACATGGAATAGTTTTAAATAATCCAACTCTCTAACCATGCAGATGAATTGGTTTTGAACAGTATCTCTTCCGACTACTCATCTTCCTAACTGTTACTTCACAGTTCTGGGTCTAGTGGTTCTTTTACTTTGACCAGGCTAACTTTTAAAATAATCCCTGTAGACCGGTTCGTATCTTGATGTATCAAAACCAACTTTCCTTCTTTTGGAAGGCACTGCAGAAATGTAGAGTTGATGGCATCCAGAGTAGTGAGTTAATTTGCTCCCTGCTCTGGACTCACTCAAAGGAATTCAATTGCTGTTGAATTCCTTTGTAGATAACTACTAGAGGAATCTGGTTGTGTACATGACTTGATGCCACAGAAAAACATGAGTAGAATTAGTTACGTATGTGTGGTAAAGAGCCAAATCTCTCATTTTACCTAGAGCTGCTTTGGGCAGATAAAATCAACAGATAAAGCTAGAGTGAGTTGGGATTTGGGGGTGGGTGGGGTTTTACTTTTAAACTTCTTTTTCTGCTGGTGAAGTTGGCAGGACTGTTTTTTTAATTCAGGCTTCTGATTGTTCTAGGAAGAAGATTATGAGTGGGGAAGTAATTCCATACTTAGTGTTTTGCCTGGGATCAGCATAAACCAGAAGAAACTAGCACTTGCTGCCATGAGGTGGAGGAAAAAAATCCATAAAGGGAGACAAGAAACTGGTATTGTTGAGGTATGGTATTGTGGAGATATTTAGATACTCAGCATGGGTGGACAGGCCAGGGCTGTGTGCATACTATTGGGTTTAAAATAGCACAAGGTTATCCCTTTCCTAAGGTGCTTCCCTAAAGCACTGTCTGTGATCTTTAGGGTGCAAGTTCCATAGTCTTTCAGTGAGATTTTTGAAAGTGGGACTTTCCCTCTTGTTAAAAGACTCTCCAAAGGAGTCCCAAAAAGAGTTTCCCAAAGTCTTCTAACTCCTCTCTCACTTTGAGCATTGCAGTCGAGCATTCATTGAAAGGTAGAAAGAGTGATGATGTTTCAGTCACATCAGGATGAATCTTGACTTCATGTATTTTGCAATAACCTTTTTAAAATGAATGCTTGTGACAATCTACCCTTTTTCTGCTTGGAAATCACAGTGAGTGCTTGTAGGAGGCAACCAGTAGGCCCTAGGTGCTGTTTCTGTAACTATGAGTAGTTAACTGTGTGTGTACATGTGTTGGGGGGGGAAATACTGTTGTTTCCAGGTAACTGTCTTTTCTGAAGATGTGTTTCTGTGAGTGAATGCCTGGTGTTCAGGAGGAAATACTCATTGCTGAGGGTCACTCCCTACACTGATTTGCCCATCTTGCTCTGCAGGTGTAAGGGCTTGGTGACAAGCTGCCTGACTGTGCAGTGGTGGCCCAACAGTTGTATGTTCTGTGGGGTTTTTTCTGCCATTTACACTTAGAGACAAAACAAGGTGATGCGAATCTTTACCTGATGGATATTCCTGAAAGGGGGAAATTAGAGATCCAGTAAGTCTTTGTAGTTTTGTAGTACAGATGTACTTTTGGCTAAATTGAGTCTTTTATCTAGGGAGCTTTCAGTGGCTGGAAAGTGATCCTGAATGTTGATCAAACCAAGGAAGCAGGATTCAGGCGCCTTCTTCAGTCAGGAGGAGCAAAAGTATGTAGGGTTTTAATAATTAAATACACATATGTGTTGGGTTTTGTGGGGCTTTGGTTGGGGATTTTTTTCTTTCTGTTAAACTCTATGCTGGGCATTTTTTGTGTGAATAAAAGGTCTTAAGCAAGAAAATTGCTTATACAGGTGTCCTGGGTTCAGCTGTAAGTTATTTTTCTCCTTCGTAGCAGCTGGTGCAGTGCTGTGTTTGGGCTCTACCCTGAGAACAAGCTGATCACACACCGATGTTTTAGTTGCTGCTCAGCAGCACTTACCCCAGTCAAGAACTTCTCAGTGTCATGCTCTGCCAGGGAGGAGGGGAAGCCAGGAGGAAGCAGAGACAGGACACCTGACCCAAACTGGCCAAAGGGGTATTCCATACCACAGCACGTCATGCCCAGTATATAAACTGGGGGGAGTTACCCAGAAGGCCCAGATCGCTGCTCGGGTCGGGCTGGGTATCTATCAGCGGGTGATGAGCGGTTGTGTCCTCTCCCCTTGTTATTCCTCTTATCATTATTATTGGTAGCAGTAGTGGTTTGTATTATACCTTAGTTACTGGAGAGCTGTTATCTCAACCCGTGGGAGTTACATTCTTTCCATTCTCCTCCTCCGAGTTACCGGCTGGGCCTAAACCACGACAACAGGATATCTGAGACATGGTCAGAGGGTGGGAGGAAAGAGCTGTGTCACTGCCATTTCCAAGCAGTCAGGCACAGCAGCTTTCTTGGGGTCACACAGTAAGAGTGCTGGTGGGAATTAGGATCGAATTTGTGTGCCCTGCTCTGATGAGAAGGATCACCCTTCTTTAAAGGTGTGTGATGGTACAGAACGCAGCTGTAAATGGCATATTATTCCCCATTAGTTTGCTAGTTAATTTGATGGGTGAAATTACAGGTCATGAACTGCATTTGTCTTGGGGAAAGAACCACAAAACTAAACTCGTTTTGTCTGTCGTGTTTTGATGTGTAGGTGTTCTCTGGTCATTCTGTGTCTCTCTTCAAAGAAGCAACTCATCTCTTTGCTGACTTCAATAAGCTGAAGCCAGAGGACAGCAGGGTCAATGTAGCAGAGGCAGCAGCCCAGGGAGTGAACTGCCTGAAACCAGAGTACATCGCTGACTACCTCATACAGGTGTGCATGCAGGAATCCTGGCCACAAGTGCCTGGGCTCAGCACATATGTGGCCTCAAACTAATCTGACTTGTTGTAGAGCTGGCAGTGCTGCAGGGTAGGCAGCTTGCAAAATGTATTCAAAATGTAGGTGTGCAATGTTGGGTTTGATAGCTTCCATTTTAGAAAACTAATGAGCTGTTTCTTTCTTCTCAGAAACTTCTTGAGCTAAACAAAGACTTAAGCTAAACCCCTGGGTTGTGTTTTTTTTGTCTTCCTCTACTGAAGGATCCACCTCCCCCAATGGAGTCTTACTGCCTGCCACAAGCTGAATCTTCCCTTCAGAACAACGCAGAACTTGGAACAGGATTGTCCCAGAAAAGAAAAGCACTGGGCGAAACAAGCCGAGTCAAGCGATCCAAAGTCCACTGAGCAGCTCCTGTGCTTTTCACTTGTACATTTTTAAATTCATATTTATATTTTTTCATTCTTGCCACCAAAATTAAAAGCTTTCGAGTTTCACTTCTCATTTGTCCTGAGATTAAAATAACTTCACAGTAACACTTACAGGAAAGATTGCTTTGGTTACCAGTAGCATCTAAAAACATGGCAAGAACTCATCCAAAAAGTACTCCAGAATGTCCCAACTGTCCCACTAATGGTTTCGTTTAGGGACACCATTGTGTAATAATGGGTAAGAAATACTTTGTGAGATGCTTGTCATACCTTCTGTCTGTGTTGTGGGGAAAATACCAGTTGATTGATAGGAATTCTATTCAGGAATTCTCTTAGGTTTCATATGAATTTTTCCTCTTTTGTTGTTTTCTATTAGAGGGGAAGGAGGAAACAGGCCAAAAAGAATTGGTTTGTAAATTTTTGTACTAGTAGAGTGTATGAATGACTTCCATAAAGCAGAGGCACTGCTGAGGTGCTGCCATTCTGAGCGCTGATGCATCTGTTGAGCAAACCTAGAACCAACTCTTTAACATGAGAGGTGAAGTTTGCCTCACCACGCTCCCAGTTTGGGTCTGCGACAGGAAACAGAGCCAGAACAAAGATGCTGGTTTCCAGCAGCTGGAAATGGTCTTACTCAAACAACCACAACATTTGACAAACTGACCTTTTAGTAACTATGGGGTCTGGGTCTCTCTTTACTGAACTTACTGTATGTGAGTTGTGCTGTGCTTGGGTGAAAGTGTGCTTATGAAAGAGTTGTGTTTAAGCAGCTGGAACTGCTGTGGCCTGTCTGAACTGAAAAGCACAATATCCAGTTGCACAGGACCAGTGTAGTTGTCTGGGGGAACATATGTAACATCTTTAATTTGCCTCTTCACTGCAAAGGTTTATTTCTTCACTGTAGGAGGTTTATCCTACTTGGATTTTCTAGCTGCTGAGTACTGTTGTACAGGAAGTCTTTGCATCAGTACCAGTTGCAGCTGGAACACAGGAAGTGCTATGCAGTCTGGAGAGCCCTGCTTCAGGCTGGGGAGAACTAACCCCCTGTGGTGGAGGAAGGGATGAGGTCTCCAAGTAGGAGAGGACAGGAAGGCAGCCTGCCCTGGTGTGCAAGGCTCTGCTGTCTGCTTCCTACTGTAATGCAGGGGATGTTTTGTCAGTGAGCTCCAAAACACGCTGTCAGGATGACCTGAAGGAATTGTCAGGAAGGACTGAAAGATGCCTGTGGCCGTGAGGGATTTGTTTCTTTTCTGTGCCCCCATCACTGCACACTTGGGCTGTGGCAAGATTGTTGAGCTGCAGGGACTAGTCTTGCCACCTGCTTTGCTTTTCTTGATCTTAACAGCTTGAATGCTTTTTGCTCTTTGTGGGTGCCCAACAAACATCTCCAATTTGCTCCATATCCACATACTGAAAATAATGCTGCTTTTAATGCCTTAAATCACACTTTGAGTTAACTTTGTATTTCCCTGGCAACTCTCTGTTCAACCCCCAAAATGCTGCTTTGCTTGGCAGGTATTTGAAACAGGTGTGAATATTGGCAGGTGAGACCTAAGGGTCCTGTGATTTTGCTGTATTTTTATTTCTTCCCAGTCGTTGGAAGAAGCATCTGTGGAAGGGTCATGCTGCTGTTCTCATGCTAGAGCTAAGAAACCACTCCCTGACCCACTTAGCTAAGCTTTAAGGAAGTCTTGGAGCCACACAGCCACTGTGAATTGTGGGGGCAAAGCAGAAGGGGAGCAGCTGAAATCAGGCACATCCCAAGCTCCATTGGAACCAGTAACATGGGACCTGAGCATTACCTGTTCTCCAGGCATCTGCTCAACCCGTGCATGTGTGTGCCAGCCCCTCTTCAACACTGAGCCTGGAACCAGCACAGTGCTGTCCCCACACTCACTGCTCTGACACTGAAGAGAGGTGAGAATTCAACAGCGAGACAAACTGGAGGTATGAATTCAGTTAGTACTGTTAAGATAAATTTATTTTCTTCAGCTTTCTTCACAGGAAACATCACAAAAGTGCTTTACAGAGTTTCATACCGTTCCTCTAACATGGGACAAAAGGGCAACAAGAGGTGTGTGCACTGCAGTTTGCAGTTGTCATCTGCAGAAGCCATGAGAGGTAAACCAGGGTAAAAAAATCTACTGCCAGTAAAATAGAGTTCAGATTTGGAACTTAAATTATACCTCTAAACTATATATATAAATATACAGGCACCATTAGGTTCCTGTGTTAACTGTGGGGGCCACACAGGGATTCTCAGACCATACTGTACTCAACTTCGCTGAAGCAGTTTCTGCTGTGCTCAGGGGGCTCCCAGCCACCCCTTTTCCCAACCAGACAGAATCATTCATTCTTTTGTGCTACAGTGAGCACTCAAATGGCTTTTATCTTCATTTCTTCAGGTTCAGACTGGTGGTGAGACATTCTGGTACACTGTTGAAAGCAAATTCAGTTTCCTATTTTTTCAGTTGCAGAGACTATGCTTTGCTCAGTCATCTCTTCATTAAAAAAATGAAGAGGCTTTAGGCCAGACCCTGCTATCCAAGTAAGCCAGTTTTGTTTGAGCTAGCACATTACCAGTCATGCAACCCTACTCATAGCTGCACCGTGCTGTACTGTGACCAGTGCTTACTGCCTCCATTTTGCTCTATTTCATGGGAATTAGGCTCCTCAGTAGCCTTCCAGGGTCTAGGTTTAAATTCCCCATGGAGATCACATTTACTTGCTAAGCAGTTTTGCAACAGATGGAGCCATGTTTGTGATGCTGGGAGCCCTGACTGAAGAAATACAGTGTGATCAAGACTCAGTTTTTGCTTATAGAGCTTTCTAAAGGGTGAATTTCTGAAGTGGTAATTCAGGCACCTGACTAGAAATCTTTGGCATGGTAATAATGTAGATGAATGAAATGAGGGAATGCTCTGGGGTGAAAAAAGGTCAAATCAGGAGACTTTTGCTGGGCTTTGAGTTGTAGAAAAAAACCAAACCAACCATAAAGATCAGCAGAGCCAATAGTCTAGAAAACACTGTCATGCCAGTTAACAAAGCCAGTTTGCCTCCTACCCAATTCCCAGATTAAAGACAGTGCACAGTCAGAGTACCAACTAGTCGGTCCTGAGGTGGTTAGTAGATAACACAGTGAGGATTTACAGTGGCAAGAAAGGGCTAAAGGGCTGTGGTGAGTGTAGCAGCAGAAGGGAGTCTTTCACATCCTGTCCCACACAGATGGAAGTACTACACTAACAACTCCCAGATACTGCTGATCTGCTCCATTCCCCCTCATCCCCTCCAAATTAACCAACACCTCAGCTCCAGTTTGCCAGCTTTATGAATACCAGCCACCACAACTGCTTTTAACAGAATACTGGCAGTGCTGGAACAGAACACCAGCCACTATTTGGATGCAAAATCCAAGGTATGTTCTTCATACCACTCATCTTCATACCACAGCAGCTGTTGTATATGATGCAGTATTCTGGTATTGAGAGAGTGCAGCTCTCAAGTGGCAGGCTATGCATTCCAACAGGCTTGAGTCTTCCCTCATGACCCCCCCTTTGTATTTATAAATGTAGCATTGCTGGTAAATGCAGTCAGCACTTAAAGACTTAACCTTACTTACAGCTGTACCATCTTTAAAGTACAAGATGAGAATGTGAAGAGGTTAAACCACAAAGACTAAGCCTGTCATCCAGTGTTGCTGCACTCATCTCCATCTCAACGCCTGTAATCTAATTTCAAAGTCCAGTTAAACACTACAACAGGTATGTTCAACTAAGCATGGATGAGCCCAGCTGGTTGCTGGTCAGAGACCAAGTAATACATCTGCTTCATCTCTGCCACAGACATGGAGCAGAGTAACCCAGAAACTTCAAGCAAGCTTGCTACGAGGCTTGTTCATTGAGCTTCCTTTCAGCTGCTGTATCTAGACTTCAAGTGAGATCTCAAATCAAGTTTTAATGAAACTGGGCTCATGTGACAGAAGTAACTCCACTGAAACCAATGAAACTAAGCTCTGGGAGATCAGACTCAGACTTTTAACTGTTTCTCAATATATTTGTTCTCTTATCAGCCTGTTTTTATGGTTTGAATCATTTTGTTATGGTTGTACATACGCTGAACGAGGTACACAGTAAGTGACTTTTTTAATGGAAAAAAGGAAGCTTGTGATGACATTTTAACAATTTTCTGTAGGCAAATTACTTGAAATGAAGCAGTTTTAACTTGATGACTCCAATGCTGTAACTGAGCTACAAAGAAAACTCAATACAGGAGACAAGAAACAGAATAGAAAAGGTCACATTAAGTTAGTAAGAGTGTGTGCCATGCACTAACCACTGGTAGGGAGAGTGCGTTATACACATGAAACTGAAGACTTAAGTACATCAGATGGCAAAAGCCAATGCCCATAGAAAGCTGTTAGGTTTGTCAGCACTGGGGAAGGTGGTGAGTGCCAGGGGATGCTATATCCCTCTGTAAACTTGGCAGTTCAGGGGTGAGAGAAGAAAACCCAAAGCAGGGAATAGAATACTGGAAAGGCTTTAAACCACTCCTACATGTTCTGGTGGAGACTGAGTTAGTTGTGATCTTTCAAGGGGACGATCTAGGCATCACCACGGACAGCTTGATGAAGACATCTGCTCAGTGTGTAGTTGCAGTCAAGAAAGCGAGTAAGGTGTTAGGCTGTATTGAAGACAGAACAATATGGAAAAACATTACAGCATGTATTTCTCCTAAAGGATCCTCCATGAATATTTGCTGTTTCATCAGCACCTTTAAAAAAGTGACAGATTAGAAAAGTATGGGGAAGAAAGTTGTAAGACAATGGCAGAAGCAGCTCTTTGTAGCTGGAAAGACATTAAGACCAAAGTCATTTGTTTATTAAAAGGGAAAAAGGATAGATGATATACATCTTTAAAGTAATTCTCCTCCCCACCATATAGCAGGATATATATCTCAAAGTCATTTTAAGCCACCTACAACTCTCTTGACCTCAATGTCACTCATCATTAGCACTCTAAGTAGTCCAAAAAGCTACCTGTGTTATTTAATGCTTGTTATTTGGCTAC